GGACCTTCAGCACCAGTGTCGGTATGATACCTGGCTTCCCCAAGACACATAAAATTCCAATCCCCCAAGACAGTGCCCAATGAACAACTAGAAGGAAGGATCCCACGACAAATACGAACAAAGTGGTGTTTAGTTTCCCCTTCCGACCACTCAGGAAAGATGTGCACGTTAAAGATCTGACAGCGACCCTTGGGACCAAAGAGATTGAGATAAGCAATGCTACCTGGAACGACTTGAACTAGGTGCACAGTCTCAAACTGCGCCAGCAGCACGCGCGAGATGAAAAAGAACAAGCCTCCAGCAGATGCACCAGCACAGAATGAGCCAAACGGAACATGATATTTGTGATCTTTCTCGAGCTGCTCTAAATCTGAGTCCATGTCATGAGATTCCTGGAGGCAAACCACAGCATGCTTTTCCAGCAGGGACCTCAAACAAGAAAACTTCGAACGGATAGCGTCCTGGTTGCTGAACACCGACCCCGAAATTGTCTGGACATTCCACGTGCAGATGCCGAGACGAGACCCAATAGAAAATGGACGAGCAGAGGGGGAGAGGAGGGGGGCTGCTGCCATGCGCAGAAGAGGAACTGCTGCTGCTACAAAATTGCGGAAACGAGTGCATATCTTGGTGAAACTCGCTGGCAGGCGCAAGCGAGGCATCAGTCTGCTGACTCGGCAAAATGCTGAGCTGCACCCCGCGCGGCTCAACAGCACGTGACTGCCTCAGAAATGTTTCCTACTGGGTGCCCGTCGCCTCGGCGATGAGCTTCTCGCAGCTGATCCCCCACTCCGAGAGCTCACTGACATTGGGCTCGCAACTCTCAGCTCTCCTGCCCGATGCCACTCTTCACCGTCTTCACGAGCTCCCAGACGTCACCCAGGCCGATGACTTGGAGGACTCCCTTGAAGCCATTGACGCCGAGGCGGCACCCCTGCTGCCACTTCGCGGACTTCTGGAGCTCCCTGAGAAACGGATCATGCATCACATAGAACGATCGCTGGCGGATGCGTACGTCGATCGGCAGATCCTGTCGACATCGTGTCGGCACCGTAGTACTGGTGCGCGGGTCGCGCCACTCATGACCACCAGCTTCATTGCGCGCTTGCTGAAGTACTTTCGCCGCCACTGCCGTCGGAAACTTGAACTTATAAGACTGATCCAAACCTTGAAACGTACCCTTAACATTCTCCAATAGATGCTGAAACCGGGGAAATATGACTGTGTCGTAGTGATGCTTCCGCTGTTCTCGTAGAAGTGGCCGAGGAAATGTACCCATGAATCTGATCGTCGCATCCGATTGTTGTTGACGTGCACCACCAGCATCACTGCCACCTCCACGAGTACTGCCACCATCACCCCATGAACTTGCTGTACCACCAGACTTCATGCCTGTAACTTCACGAGCGAGACGCTTGAGCTCGTCATTCTGATCACTGATCTGGATTTGCTGCTTGACCATGTCATTCTGGATATCTGCGATCTGCTGCGTGTGGCCTGCGAGCTGCAATTGGATGGCGCCGACCGGCTCATCCAGCTTGTTGATGATCGACCCCTGGTATTCCGACATCATCATGCGCATGTTCTGCAGGATTTCACTGTCCCCTGATGAACGGTTCTTCTCTTTCTTTGAAGTCTCATTCTTCTTCGGCGATGGCGATCTGACCATCTTTGAGGTTCCCGAACTGCTTGAACGGCGGGAACGACGAGATGAACGATTGGCACTGTCCATACTGCTCCTGCTTGCTGAACGACTGGAGGAGAAACGACGATGTTTTTTCTTTTCCTTGTTCATCCGAGCTTTCTGTATTGGACGACTCACACTGCGGCTCGGCGTACGTCCACCCTTGACTCCCATGGCGGAACTGCTGGGAGCGAAATGAAAGATACTGCGCAGCCCTCGCCTGCGCCTGGGGAACAGGGAAATTGATGTACACAGTGGAAAGGAACTGCTCTCAGCCTGGCGGGGCCGCCGTCTGTGGCTGGAGCTGGTCGGATGCTGCCTGCCCAGCTGGCTCGATAAATGTTTTACTTGAGCCAAAATGTCTTGAGCCAAAATGGCTACGGAGGGGAGGAGGAGGAGGAGGAGGAGGAGGAGGAGGAGGAGGAGGAGGAGGAGGAGGAGGATGAGGAGGAGGAAGGGGAGGAGGAGAGGGAGGAGGAGGAGGCCCAACACGGCGAGAAAAGGAGGGAAGGGCAGCGGTACGGGCACCTCCTCCTTCTCCAGATGCCGGCCCTGCGGCTGCTGCTGGGGCGCAGCCGCTCCGCCGCTGCCTCCGGGAGGATATCCAGCAGCCCACGCCGCCGCAGGTGCTCGAGCCGCCTGGCGCTCGGTCGGGCGTGTCGTCCTACAGGCGGGTGTTGGGTGAAAACCAAGAAGACAGTCCACGCAGATGCAGAAATTGCACAAAGATAATTAAACAAATCGTCCCCGGACGATTACTTCACCATCTACCCTTCCTGGTATCCTTTTCCTGGCAGGCGTGTGCGGCCACAAACACTGAAATGGCAGCGCCAAAAACTACTTGGCGCACCTCACCACAAATCGATATGCTCTGCCACCGGATGAACAGAAATGGTGTTAACAAATCGTGCGCCTTCTTGTGGTGAAGTGGGCCTGGGGGCCTGAGAGCGCCCTGCAGCCATCTGGGAACATTCCTCCTGTAGAGGGGCATGCCCGATTCAAGCCTGGCACGAGGGGCGGGGCGCCCGCGCGCAGGCCGCGTGCCGCCCGCGCCCCGCCCGGGGCCTCCGCGCCACGCCTCCGATCGGGGCCCGCGCGGCGCCCCCGCGCGGGGCGCAGGGGCGCCGCTGCGGCGCGGTCCACGCCGGCCTCGGCGCGCAGCGCGGCCTATTGGCGGCGCGCACAAGCCGGGTCGGGCGAAAGGGGGGGGATAGCAAAGGGGGGTTTGAGAATCAGCTCACGTAGCTGATTTTCCTGGCGCCTCCCGGGTACCCCCTCCCTTTCCCAATCCCCCCCTCTCGTCCGGCCCGAACAAGGGGGTGGGGGGGGGAGGGCTTCTTGGGGGGAGGCTGCTTCTTAGAAGGCACCGGCCTCACATCTGTAGACAAGGCCCGCGCCTTCTAAGAAGCAGGGGTGCTTCTAAGAAGCCCTCCTCCCCCCTCCCCCCGCCCCTCTCTGCGCGTGGCCGAGCCTCGGCGCGAGCCGCCGCGGCTCGGGCCGCCAGGAGCGGCGAGGCGGCCCGGGGCGCCGTCGGCCTGCCGCAACGCGCGGGCGCGCGCGGCCCTGGCGTCAGAGGTCGGGCGTGCCCGCCTACACGCGGATTTTTTGGACGACGGAACAAGACAGAGCCAAAACATGCCCCCGAGGGGTCAACAATGGGCGAAAGCTTGTCCCCGGGCTATGTTTTGGCTGTTCTCTGCGTGTGCCTCCTGCAGAGGGGCAAGCCCGGCTCAGCCCCGGCGGTCATGAGCCGCGAACCTGCTGCGGCGGCGGCTGGGCCGCCAGCGCCCGCGCGGACAACCTTGCACGCAACTGCAACGAAGTGGTCCAGCGTGTCGTGCTGGATGGTTTCACCGATGGAAACAGCCGCATGAACGCGGGATGCCGTAAAATCATCGATGCAGCGCGCCTTCCGTGAATCCACTTTCCAGCCCTCATCGGCTGGAAACCGGCCGCGCCGCGGCAGGGTGGAGAGGCCGCGGGGTCGTCCACGTCGGCTTCGGCCTGTCGCGCGGCGTGGCGCCGCGCCACCATCGGGCCCTCGGGGCTGCCTCCCCTCCACCGGCGCGGCGAGCGCAGGGGGCAGCCCCCCGCACCCGGCGAATGACCTCCCCGCTGCCGACGTCAAGGCGGCGTGGCGCTGCTCGTGCTCCGTCCGCGAGGCGCCTGGCACGCCGGAGAGGCGGTTTCCTGCCCTGTCCGCCCACGCGCGTGCCCAATCCGTCCGTCTACGGTAGCGGCTCCATCGTGATCCCCACGATCCAACGTCTGTCCAACCCGGCTCTTCAGCACCGAGCAGTCAATCAGGTCGTCGGTCGGCCAGCATCCATCCTGCTCGGACTCTGCAGGCGGCGGTTCCAGCTCTTGCTGCTACCGAAGAGCTCGCCATCGCTCGGACGTCCATTCCCTGTTTTGTTCGGTTTCGTGCGTGGTTTTTTCGACGCAGAATCAAGGATGCTCCCCGATTGTCCTCGCCGGAAAAAATGCACACGTCCGAGCGACGCCAAGAGAATGTCCACGCTCTCGTCCTGAGCTTGCTTCGTCTCGATGCCCCGTCCGATGCCTGCCCTGTGGCAGCGTCCTTCCCTCCGCCGTCCGCCTCGGCGCGCCTTCCGCGCCACCTCTCGCGCCCTCGGGGCGAGCTCCGCGCGCGCCCGTGTAGCCTGGAGCTGTGGGGCCAGCGAGGCCCGAGCCAAGATGGCTACGGGCTCCTCCTCCTCCTCCTCCTCCTCCTCCTCCTCCTCCTCCTCCATCTCCTCCATCTCCTCCTCCTCCTCCTCCTCCTCCTCCTCCTCCTTCCTACCTTCTACCCCTCTCTTCTCCCCCTCGCTCTTCCTCCCTACGTACCGTCTATCCCTACCCACCCTCTATCCCATACCTTCCTTCTTTTATCCCGCCCTCGATCCTCCTACCGTCTATCCCTACCTACCTTCTTCTCCCTCCTCCCTCTTCCTACCTCTCTCCTCCTATCCTCCTCCTCCTTGCCTGATATCCCTACCTTCTATCCCTCTCTCCTCCGCCTCCTCCTCCGCCTCCTCCTCCCTCCCTGCCAATGCTCCTCAGGGGAAATCAGAAGGTACCGATACCGCTACTCCACGGACCTCTCCTGGGGTACGTTCTGCGGAGAATTCCGAGGCGAACCCAGCGGCGGCGACGAGGGCCTCCCAGGAGGCCCAAAAAGGGGAAGGCGAGGGAAGGGTAGCGGTATGGGTATCCTTTCTTTCCCCCTCCTCCCTCCATCCCTCCCTCCCTCGCTCCACCTCTCTGAGTCCTGCTCCTCCTCCTCCCTCCCTCCCTCCCTTTTCCCCATCGCCACCTGCTCGAGGAGCTTGCTGGCCTCCTCCCTGTCCTGGCTGGCCGCCCTCAGGAGGCCATCGGCCCCTTCCTGGATCTTGGCCTCGAGCGAGGCGGCCGCGCGCGCGTCGTCGTCGTCGTCCTCGTCCGAGTTTGGCTTGGACAACTGGCGCGGTCTGAGCTTGCGAAGGGGAATATCTCTCGGAAGAAAGAAAGGGTACCCATACCGCTACCCTTCCCTCGTTTTCCCCTGTTTGGGCCTCCTGGGAGGCCCTCTTCGACGCACCCCAGGATGAGTTCCAGGGAGCAGCGGTATCGGTACCTTTTGGTTCCTCCAGCTTCAGTGGAGGAGCAAGAGGAGGCGGCGGCGGAGGGGGAGGAGGAGGATGAGGAGGAGGGGGGGGAGGGAGGATGGGGAGGATGAGGAAGGCCAGATCAAACGCAAGACTCGTCAATGGTGCTGCAATGGAGCAACCGTCCAAGTTCCGTCTTCGAGAGCTACTGTCAAATCGATCTTTACGCGGGGAGTGGCCCCGGTTGGAAGACAACCGTCCAAAAATCTTCATCCCAGAGCACGTGAAGACGAATGTGCGCAACGCTAAATCAAGGACCACAGTTTGGAAAGGAACCGCCCTCTGTCCGTGAAGCTCTTGCAGGCATTGAAGACCACTGTGCGCGGCGCTGGGGCAATACGCACATGTTTCCCCAATCAGTGCTTGCACTGAAGCGGTCCTGGCGGAAGTTGGAAGATTAGGTTCAAGTTCTTGGCCAATTTCGGTGGGCGGCTTGGTTCCCGGATTCCCCGTTCCAAGTTCCCGGGCTCCCTGTTGCTGGTTCGGGGCCGATTTCGGTGGGCGGCAGGGTTCCTGGGTTCCTGGGTTTCTGGTCGATCGCCTTATCGATCTCATTATCGATCTCACACCTCGTGATTTATCTCAGGATCCCTCTCACCCAATCGCTATCACGATCGATCCCATTATCGATATTGCGATCGAATCCGTGATCGATCTCATGATCTCTCTCACTATCAATTTCACTCAATCGATCTCACTAACGATCATACGGTTGAACATAGTATCAAACTCATTATCGGCATCGCTATCGGTCTCAGTGCAAATCCCACTCAAACGACCGATCGGTCGGTCTCACTATCGATCTCACTTTTGAATTATCGACCCATCTTGCTCTCGTTTCCATAATCGATCACACTATGGATTTCAGTTTCGATCGCACAACCGATTTCAATGTAAATCCCATCAGCGACCACACTGTGGATCTCAATCGGTCGACCCCACTATCGGTTTCACAACCGACCCCACTATCGAACTCACCATGGATCTCACTCAATCGACCCAACTATCGGTCTCACGATCGACACTACTAGCGACCTCTCTATCGATCCCTATATCGACCTCACTATCGATTTCACGATCGATCTCGATCAGTCGACAAGGCGGTCGGTCGAACTATCGACCTTAATATCGACCTCATTATCGATCCCATTATCCGTACCACCAGCGAACTCAGGATCGATATCACTATTGCTTTCAGTATCGATGACACCATCCAGCCACGCGACACCAGGGGCCGATTTCGGCATGTAGCACTACGTTCAGATCGGCACACGTAGAGAATTCATGTGTTCAGTATGTGTGTACATAAGTTCAAATATGCGAAATGTGCGGAGCGGCCAGGGAGCAACAAATCAAGCTAACACGCGTTGCGTCTTACGGCAGTGTTGCAGGTATCCTGGGCAATCGTGAATTAAGCCTTTTAGGGGGGCCTGTTGGCCCAACCCGGAATGATCTCGGCGGCCTATTCGGTGATAGGGAAGCACATGATGGAAAACATGTCCCTGCCCTTTCCTACCTTTTGCGAACCATCAGGGCGTTCTAAACCAGGACATGCTAGACCCGGACTAAATTCACTGGGCGGCCAAAATCTGACTTTGCAAGTAAAGGTGTTGTTTTCCACACTTGCCAACGTCCGGGTTAGTCATTGTCCTGGTCTCGGGGGGGCTGAGATTACCGCTCGCGTGCTGCGCCAGACAGATTGGGCCTGTTTGTGTATGGTCGTCATGCTTCCAAGGCGTTAGGACGAACGCTCTGCTGCGTCTGAACGCCAATCCTTGTGTTCTCGCGTGCTGTTTTTCGCATCTGTACAAGCACTGTTCGTGAATATTCATATGCCTTGCGGCAAAACCATCGCCGCGCCATCGCAGCTCTCTGGGCGCCAGCCGGTCGACTGGCGATGGCGACGACAAATGCCGAAGATGATGATCAGGACGATGCGAAGTTGCATGTTGACGATGGTGCTGCTATTGATGATGATGACGGCGATGATAAGGCTGATGAGTCTGATGATGATGAATATGATGAGGACGATGATGGCATAATGATGATGATGATGAGGATGCTGATGATCAGAATGATGACGATGATGATGCTGATGATGATGAGGATGAGGATGATGATTATGAAGATTTGTCTTACAGAGTCGGGGCTCAAGGTGAGGGTGAAAGCGGAAAGGGGAGGTCGAGCCATCTGCCCGCGGAAACCGCGTTTGATGCCGCCGTGCGCTACGCGCGCGTGCTGGAGCAGCTCAATCTGCCCCGCACAGCGCGCAATCGGCGGGGCGCACCGCCGCCGGCCAAAGATCTGAACATAAGTCACCCACAACCGCTGCGTGAGGACAGGCAAGAAGATCACGTACACAAGATGAGAGATGTGTGCGCGAGGCGGGTCAGCCCAAAAAACTCACTCGCGGCACGTGTCACGTGCCTCACTCGTCAGCTCTATTGATTCACCAACCATTCAGTCCAGTCCTGTAGCTCCTCCATGTATCCAAGCACGCCCCGTAGATGCCGTGCTTCAAGCTGGCGCGTGACGGTGACGGGGTAGCGCTTCTCGCCCAAGATGAGTTTGGCCTGGTCCTCCTTCGCCGTCTTGGTGATCCTGCATGCCCTGATGAGCTGCGCCGCCTCCTCGACCTTCTCGCAGCTGTTGAAGTCATCCACCGTCTTCTTGAGATGCGCCACGCCGGCGCTTCCGACTCCGTGCATCTCTGTCAGGCCGACCAGGAGCACGCCGAACATCAGCGCATGGAGAGGCCCCAGTAGTGGCATGTCTGGGTTCTTCTTCCGCACCTGCTTGAGTAGCGGGGGGAGCGGCTCGCAGAATCCCTTGTCCTGAACCTGAATGCCCCATGTGCTTCTTCTCGCCCTGGTTGAGGCTCTTGCCCCCTCGCTCCGTCCTTGGCGGGGCAGCTGCTGGGCCTGTGGGCCCGCGCTTGCCGTCGTTGCCAATGCTCCCAGACGCCGGCGAGGATGCCTGGGGGCGCCTTGTTGCCCTCGCCGGAGGCGCGCGTCGTAGTAGCTGCGAAAACCTGCGATCTGGCGCGAGCCCGACGAGTACCACACTCCGATGCAGTAGGTAATGGCCGATGTGCGCTCAAGGTTGGGCGTCTCTGCGCAGGTCGAAGCTCCTTCACAATCCAAGGTTTGTTCGATGTGTGGACTGGCACGGGTACATGAGAAAGCAAATGGCGCCGAAACGCGTCCACTGAGCCGAAAGTCAACGGTGACGACGCTGATTTCGTATTCGTGGTCGCTCTCTGGGTTCGGGTTTTCGCTCGTAGCCTCCGGAATGGTCGTGCAGATGAAGGCCTCGTCGTCTCGAACTCGGTCTGTGTCGATCGCTGCTCGATGTACTGAGGTAATGATGGTGCCGTTCGTCGTGCACGTGTGCTCGATGTGCTGCGTGTCCGTGCTCGTGAAGTAGATGGTGCCGATGACGCTCGTGCAATAGGTGTGCGTGTTGACGAGGACGGAGGCCGCGTGGGGGCTCCAGAGGCATCGAAGGCTTCATGTTCAGGGCCCAAAGGGGCCTCTTGATCGAGATCACGCGATACCACAACACGGCATGTAGGGCACTCTAGTTTTTTCGGGCGGGCGGCACGGCCACGCCTGTGCAGCATTGGACCGAATGCAACGGCGGGTGGTCCAACTCCTCAGCACGTGGCGTGATCAATGATCTCTGGTACGAAATACCGCGTCACATCTCAGGCACTTGTTGTCAAGGATCAGCAGGCCGAGCACGCTCCTCATGGCGTGGCACGGCTCCTTGCTGCGAGTCTGACGCGCGCGTAGCGCAGCGAGAGACGGGAAGGCGCGGCCGCAGACCGTGCCGTCTGCCAACGTAATTTTGCACCAGTAGGCGGGTAGGTCACCCACGCCCGTCACCTCAGTTTCCGTAGGAAGAAACTCCTCCAAGTGGGCACCGTGTGGTGACCACTGACGCGAAAAGAAACTCGCTCGTAGTGTGCGGGGGTCCACGGCAGTGTACATGTCACGTAGAGCGGGATCTGCCATGAGCCGTCGGAAGTCACGAGGTTGCCATTCGTGTCGTAGTTCAGTGGCCAAACCCAGTGTGAAGAGAGTGTCGATGTCACGGGCCAGCTGCTTCGCCCATGGGTGGATGTTGCTCTCGATGTTGGTCTCTCCGTTCCCCGCCAGAATGGGAACAACGCACTTTGTCTGTCCCTCCACTGCAAGCGTGCCGAAGAACCCCGTCAAGCAGTGAAAGTGCTGCTCTATGTCAGTCATCATGTCGCGCCACCAACAGGGGCGGCGCACCGTGAGCTCAAGCGCAACAGGTGCCAATCTCCAGTACCTCCAAACATGCAAGGTGGGCCATGTCCGATGTGCACCGCGTCGTTCTGAATTTGCGCGGCCTTCGAGCATGGGGCGCAACTTGCCCGCCGAGCTGGTGCCGAGGGCCTTGGTATCAGCCCTCGTGTAGATGTAGCTCTCGCCGCCAGACGCGGCCGCACCGCGGGCGCATCCTCCGAACAGAAGGCGGCGAGGACGCCATCCTGCCTTGGGGTGCCAGAACCCGCCCAGCTGATTCCACGCTCGGTTGATAGCTCGTAATCTTCCACGACGTTCGGCTACATTGCTGCCTGAGGCGGAGAACACGCCGCCGAGATGGTTCAGCCGAGGTAAAACCGTGCCGACAATCGCGTTGTCGGCGGCAAGTGCCTGTGGAATGCCTCGGCGCGAGGCGGCGACAACGATCTCTGCCTTAGTGCGATTCTGTTTGTGCTCCCATGCGTCACCGCTCTCGCCCAAGCACGCGGCGTCCAAGTTGCTGGCGTTGCGGATCTCCTCTGGGGATGTCTCGGGGGGGAACGCCAGAAGCTTGAGAAGGTCGTCAATGAAAAGGCCCACGCCGACGTTCACAGTGTCGCCGAACACACCGCAATGGGCCAATGTGAACTTGGAAAAACTGAGGGTTGTACTCCTCAATACTGGCGTAATAATGTGTCATGAAAAACTCTGGCTCGCTGCTGTCTCCCATGAGTCCTCCACTGCCTGCGCGTAGATAAAGCCACTGCTGCGGTGTGGAGATGCGCATAACGGCCTCAGAGCGGCGCTGGTGAAGGAACTCGATATTGGCGTGGATGCGGTCGCGTCGTTCGTCAGGTTCGCCTTCCTGCGTGTGATAGTTGGTCGCGCGGTCGCCTGCGATGCGGTTCAGATCGTCGTGCTTACCGCTCTGGAAGGCTGATCTTTGGTCGTGAGATTTCGCATGCTCTAATTCTGCATGCTCTAATTCTGTGAGCCGCGATCCGTGATAAACACATCATGCCCTCACGCCGTCTCGTTCGAACTCCTCCGCATGCCCATTCGGGCGGTCGGAAGGGGCCACCCTCCGCATTAACGGTGCGCATGTAGAAACCTCGCCACAAAGGGCAACATGTATGTAGTAGGCGAAGGCCATGTACTCCAGGTAGCCCTTTCTTCTTATCGAGGGCGAATGTCTGGCTCATGATGGCTTGACTCGGGGCCCTCATTGATGCTCTTGCCAACGCGTGAATCTCGATGAGTATCTTGGCAGGCTTCGTGAAATGATCCAATGGTAGCTTCCTCTTGGTCGGGTCAATCGTCTTCTCGAAGTCCATCGGGTCGAACGCTTGAAAGAGTCCGAGGCGAGCAGTCTGGGCGGCAGGCTTGCTGAGGAAGGAGGGGTTGGTGATAATCAGATACGCCTCGGTCGGCAAACTCCAGCACGGTGCGAACTTTCTGCGTTTCATCTTCCAGAGGTGGCGCCTGGTGGCGTTGAAATCCTCGTCGCCCGCTAAGAGGTCACGGACGCCGACGTGGGTGCCAGGCCCGTCAGGTCGCGGAGGTCGTTGCATTCGTTCCCCGCACTTTGTGGCCTGCGGGGCGAGCGTGGTGACCAGGTAGGCGTCGTCGAGCGTGCTCGCGCTGAAACCTCCGTCGCATCCTGGAACGCTTAATGCAGCAATCCACTCGTCTGCGGATGGTTGGCACGAAGGTAATGAACGACAATTTCTCCTGCGAGCTCCAATCCCCCGATGAGCACGACGCCTAGCGGCTGCGTGCATGTCAGCGAGTCGACGCTCGGCCCATCCTTCTCGAATCTGCTGGTCCAAATCGTTGTCCTGGTGTAGTCGTGCTCTGCGGATGTGCTTGTGAAGAAGTTGTGTCAAGTGCTTCACCTCCTCGCCAGCAGCGCCGGGGGCGTCGCGACGAAGCGCCGAGCGCTTCGAGGCGCCTGGCTCCGCGAGCAGGGTCGGCCTCCCCCTCATCGCTTGCCTGCACCAGTCGGGGCGCTCCTGGCTGGACGCGAAATTCTTGAGAGCGACTTGCCTGGTGACAGCGACGAAGAGGTGCATGTACCTGTCGGGCGAGGGGTCAGCACGTACTTCCGCAAACTCCTCCTGGTACTTCTCTAGGTTATCCGGAAGATCCTGCAGAAAGCCTTCCCGTCCTTGTCCTTCCTGAAGGCATCTGCACAGGGTGGGCCAACTCCAGCATGACCGCACGGTGCTATCGTGCCCAGGGCAAGGGACCTGAACGTATCCAACGATCGGGACGTGATCAAACAAGTACTTGCTCTTTCGTGTCCGCCTTGCCGAAGCCATCCAACGTCGACAAGTAGCGTCTGGAATCAGTGATACTGGAGCGAAAATGTAGTCGATGGTCGTCGCCCCGTGATGTCCTATGTAGGTGGCCCCCACCTTGTAGTGTCTGTTGAGAGCGCCTATCGAGTGCAGTTGCATGAGTGCGTGCAGGGCTTTGCCGTTCTCGTTCTCGTGACCATTGCCGAAAGGTCCAATGCACTCGTCGTTAACCTGCTTGTTGTCTATCTTGCCAAGGCCCGTATTGGCGTAAGTGAGGATGATCGGTACTCTGCGAAAAGCACATATGCGTAGAAGCTGGTCGATCCATTCTCGCAACAGCTGACAACCTTTGCGCCATCCTGGGCGTGCCCGCGCTGTGCGGGGCCGAGGCTCGAAATAAGCGACAATCGCGCGGAGGAGCAAAGGGCCCTTAGTGATGTCAGCCATGCCGCCACGGCCTGCGATGATGGCGGGTGGAGTCTCGATGGCCGATATATCGGTAGCACGTAGTCGTTCAAAAAGGAGAGTACTGCATCCCGCACTCTTGTTCGTGCAAGCTCCTGCTTGCCAAGGGAAATGTACCACGTTGTGGTAGACGGTGCTCTCACGAATATGTGCAGGCCTGGGGTCGCCTTGGGCGAATGCAGCCGGGCGTCGTCGACCAGTGCCTGTGAGCCCGCCGATCGCGATGCTGCGGTAGGCGACGGAGAGTTCCTGCAGGCGGAGGTTCTGCAAGCTGCCGACATTGTGGGTCAGGATCGGGAATCTTCTCAACAGCTGCAGCGCAATCGCACTTCTCATGGCAGCGGTGGCGCAGCCCCACGGCACCAGCGGCGGGCCATGGCGGGCGCTGTCTGGGAAAAGGGCAGACGGATGCGCCAAGCCGTGTCGCTCCTGGAACAAGCCCGAGCGGCTTTGATTATGAGGATGATGATGATGATGATGATGATGATGAGGAGGAGGAGGAGGAGGAGGAGGAGGAGGAGGACGATTATGCTGGTGGTGGTGGTGATGATTACGACGGTGATGATGATGATGATGATGACCATGAGAATTGGCAAGAGGAGGCATCAGAGAAACGCCGGAACATCCGGCACCCCTCGACCTCACCTCTGGGGGCTCATCCGGGCCGTCCCAGGGTTTTCCATGGACCCCGTGGAAAAGCGGGCCGGGGGAGGAGGAGGGAGGAGGAGGAGGAGGAGGAGGAGGAGGAGGAGGAGGAGGAGGAGGAGGAGGAGGAGGAGGAGGAGGAGGAAGAGGGGGGGGAGGAGGAGGAGGAGGAGGAGGAGGAGGGAGGAGGGAGGGGAGGAGGAGAAGGAGGAGGAGAAGGAAAAGGAGGAGGAGAAGGAGGAGGAGGAGGAGGAGGAGGGAGGAGACTCAAGTGGGCCGTCTCGGGGCCCGCTTCGCCATCTGCTCGGTCTCCTCGGACAGTCGCGGGGCCATATGAAGGCCGCATTGGGCCGTGTGAAGGGACCTCTCCGGTCGTCTATCTTGGAGGCCTCTTAGGCCGCTTCGAACCAACGGAGGCCTGAAAAGGCGAGCATGCCACAACCTCTCTAAACATGACAAGGAACACATACATATATATATATATATATATATAGGACCAGATAGGGCCCCACGGCGAAACTGCGGCCAGGCATAGTGCCTGCCAGATGTTCAAAGCATCCACTCATCGGGCTTGCCTCTGTGGTGTAATGGTAATGAGAGCGGCCCGCCCTCCATCGTGAAGCTCCTGCAACCCTCTGAGACGAATGTGCGCGGCGTGAAGGCGAGAATCCCATTCTGGAAACGACCGCCCTCCATCCGAGAAGTCGTCGCAAATTCCAGGCTTCAGGATCATAGGCGGTGAGGCGTCGGGGATGGACAGACCTCCCTTTAGTAAAACGTGGTCTAGTGAAAACGACATGGGGCCTAAACCTGGCGGGCGCAAGCCTGGAAAATGACGGCCGCGGCGCCCTCTCGAGAACCGAAAACAAACAATTCACTAATCGACGTGTCACTGTTGGGGGTTCTGTCCACCCCCGAAAACTTGGCTCACGGGAGGCCGCAACACCGCTCAACGGTGTGCTGTTGCCCTTTTGTCCGTGCACCTCGGCCTCGGCCTCGGGGCTCCTGCAGTGGGCTCCGTCCAGCTCGCCCGAATCGATGTTTCCACTCGCGCGGGTGCCTCCCCTTCCCCTCCTTCCTCCTCCTCCTCCTCCTCCTCCTCCTTCTCTCTCCTCTCCATCCCTCCCTCACTCTCGTCCTCGTCCCCTGCTTCCGCTTCCTCCCCGATCTCCCTCCCCCTCCTCCTCCTCCTCCTCCTCCTCCTCTCCTTGGTGTCCCTCCTCCCCCCCTTCTCGTCCATTCCCCCTCCCTCCCCACCCGAGCCTGGATGTCCACCTTGGCGCCCGCCTTGGCAAAGCTGTCGTCATCGACCCCCCCCTCCTCGATGGGCTCCGTCGGCTGCTCGGGCTGGAGCTTGAAGTCGCCGCGCGGAGGCCACGACTCCTGGGCCTGCCAAGGGCGCGGGAGAGAACGATAATGTCACCCCATCCTCCCGCTTCCCCAGGGGGGCAGGCGAATGGAGGAGGCGAGGAGGAGGAGGAGGAGGAGGAGGAGAAGGAGGAGGCGAGGAGGAGGAGGTGAAGGAGGTGGGCGAAGGATGACCACAAGGCGTCAGGGGAGCATCGTCAGGTGGCCAAGGATGGCGAGGGAGCAGCAAAGGAGGGAGAGGATGGGGCACGAGGAGGCACAGAAGGAGGACAATGAGGGGGAGGAGGACGAGGACGATGACGACGACGGGGACATCATGGGTGCTGGAAACGACAAGGCCGTTTTTGTTACCGGTTACGTTCTGCCATTTCTTAGCCGATTCCGTCGCCGTTTTTTGTTGCGGGTTCCGTCGCCTTTGTTTTGCCAGATCCCGTTCTGGTTTCGATTCCAGAACTGTTGTGTGTTGCCGTTTCCGGTCGCGTGTTTTTTAACCGTTTCCGTTTTCAAGAGACACTTTTTTCGAAAACGGTGAACAAACGGCCCTGCTGTTTCCTGGACCCACTAAGGACGGGGAATGAGAGGAGGAGGAGGAGGAGGAGGAGGAGGTGGAGGAGGACGACGACGACGACGATGCTGAGGGGGACGAGGAAAGGGCAGAGGCAGAGGAAACAGGAAGAGATGAGGGCGATGATGACAATCGGGGTAGCGAGGAGCAGAAGGCGCAGGGAGAGGACAAGGATAATTCAACGGCCCCCGCTTGCCGGGGTGAAGAGAAGAATTCGCCGGCCCAACGGGCCAGGGCGTGCTAAGATCTCCGGTACCTGGTTAAGAGTATTTCTAGTTCGCGCGCGCGGGGCGGCCCCTGGGGGTCCCCGGGCGAAAAGTACCCCGGCAAGGTCCCGGCAAGTCCCCGGCAAGGTCGGGTCAGAGATGCCAGAGTTCTGTTTCGGAGTCCAGGAGGGCTCCAGATCGGTCCAAGAGGGCCCCGAGAAGCTTTCTAGACGGTCCAAGAGAGGCCCGAGACGGCCAAAGATCGCCCCAAGACGCCCCAGATGGCCCCAAGACAGCCCAAGAGGCCTCCAAGACGCTCCAAGGGCCTTCCAAGAGGCCTCCGAAGAGGGCCCCAAGTTGCCAAAATCGTTGATTTTCATTGTTTTTTCAATGTTTTTTTGCGTTCTGGCCTTTTCGCTTCCGGACGCTCCAAGAGGGCCCAAGAGGCCTTCAAGACTGCTCCAAGACGGCCCACGAGGCTCCCAAGACGGCCCCGGAGCGGCCCAAGAGCGCCCCCCAGACGGCCCAAGTGCTGCCCAAGGCGGACCAAGAGGCCCCAAGACGGGCCCAAGAGGGGCTCAAGAAGGGAACCGAGAACTGAAAAATCGAGCCCTCCGCCCCAGAAGGCGCCCAGGACCCCGAAAGAGGCCCCAAGAGACTCTCCAAGACACCCCCAAGACGCCCCAATAAGCTCCCGTGAGGCCCCAAGAGGACCAACAACGTCAGGCCCCAGGCCCCAAGAGGACCAACAAATACCGCCAAGAGCCCGCCGAAAGCCCCCCAAGAGACCGTCACGAGAGCTCAGGAGGCCCCCTGGAGGCCTCCCGAGTTCTCCAAGAGGCCTAAAAAGAGGCGCCAAGAGGCCCCAAACGGCCCCACCGAGGCTCCAAGAGGCCACGAACGCGCAAGCAAACGCCTGCGATGGCACAATACGGGCCGGCGGAATGAGCGAAGCGATTGATACCCCAAGTATATTCCCATATGGCTCCAGAAGGGCTTCAACAAGCCTGAGATGCTTTGAGAACACCAAAGATTGCCTCAAGACCAAACGGTCCGAGAGGCCCAACATGGGGAGCTCGCAAGGGCCCTGGTAGACCTCCCCCACAAGATGCCCCGCTCCAAAACCCCGAAGAAACCCCCAGGGCTGCCCCCGTAGACCCCAGGAACCCTGAAAACGCTCCAAGAGGCCGCCTCGAAGAGCCCCCGCAAAAACCTGCAACAAACGCGAAAGAAGATGAGGCCGGATCAGCAAAACTACACCAATGCAGCGTGACGGGACACGGCTAACAACGCATCTGAATTCGAAAACCGCACATCTCCTCTTCTGTGGTCGGCGGAGGGTCGTGAATCTCTTGAGCACATAATGATGGTGAACATAATGAGGCGGTGGAGTTTGAAGCACGACAGAATATGGCTAGATGTTCAAGAGGAAGAGGAGGAGGAGGAGGAAATGGAAGAGGGAGGAGGAGGAGGACGGAGGAGGAGGACGGAGGAGGAGAAGGACGGAGTTTTGGCGAGCGCCCTGCCAGCCACCAGCCTTATTGCCTGATGGGGATTGACTCCACCCGAATTCTTTCCTTCGGGTGCCAGCCGCGCTTGACCCTGGACCAATACTCCGCTGCCTTTGCGAGTGGACGGGTGCACTCATGGCGGAGCTGCTTAAACTGTCCGAGGGTCGAAAACGCTTTGCAGCGGGTGCAGATAATTAAGATCTGATCGTTCGAACACTCGAGCGCCAGACACGAATGCCCCCGTTCAATGACCGAACGGGCTACAAAAGGCAGGTCTCCTCCGCATCCCTCGATCGAGGGGCGCGCAGCTTGCCTGCGAAACCTGAGACAACGATTGCACCTCCAAAAAGACTTGACCCAGGCCCAGACATGTTCTCCCTCGGGCACCACCGCCCCACGGCGGCGAGGACGAGGAGGAGCAATGAAGGGAACGTCCGAGAGGTCCAGACGGGGCCAAGAAACAAGAACTTTGGCAGCAAGGCGCGAGACTGTGCGCGACACCTTGAGCTGCCAGTCCAACTTAGTCTGCTGCTCATTAGAACACCTGGGGTGAGCAGCGGCCCCAAGCTTGGCTGATCTATCAGCCTCATCATTCCCGATTTTAAAGAAACGCTCTTCGGGGGAAAGATCGTCCGACTCGGCCACATGGGCCTTCACCTTGTGCAAATCGGAAAAACGGGTCCCCAGAACATTAATCATGAGGCCCGAGTAGGGCCTCTTGTACGACAGCTTCTTAGAACGGTCGAACTGGAAGGCCCTACAAACATTCAGACAGTCTGTGTACCCTGGAGCAGGGTCGGTGAGGCAAAGACTAGAATACGCAAGAGCCCCGAACTCGGCCGCCTGAGGGGTCTGAGGAAACCGATCCCACAAAGGGGACCAAGCTCTGAGCTTCAAAACTTGCTGGGAATCGAAAACCGCTATGCCCCACCCTGCCCTGCTTAATTATTTCACTACGTGCTTCTGACAAGAACCATCCATGAAAACATAAGAACCAGAAAAACAGCTGCTCATCTTCATGTTCTTGATCAACCTCCCATCGAAACTCTGGAGCACATTCAGGAACAGGACGGGGGTGCAGGTCCCCAGGATGTGGGAAGAGGCCCTTGGTGAACAAAATCCAATCCTCCATGGAACACGAAGCAGGATCGATCTCATTGGCCGCCTGCAAAACATCGGGATCTACAATCTCCTGTCTGAGCTCCGCGACCTCAGGATCAGGGCAAACCCAGAGCCTGTGGAAAATCGAGTCCGAGGGCCCGCCGCACAAAGCGCAGCACGTGTCCTGGAGTTGATACCCACACTGGGTTGCACGCTCCTTGGTCCAGCAGGCCCCGCAGACATTGGCTCTGATCGAACCTTTCTCGAACGGCGTGAATTTCGAGCTGCTGAGGTCGCGAATCACAGAATCGTAACATAGCCTGGCACCAACACCGAGCTTCTCGCCTGACAGCCTGCACAGTTGACGAATGACAGCTTCCCGCAGAAGGTTCTTGATCAATCTGGGGGAAGAGGTCGCGAGAGAGAAGGTGACGCCAAGGTCGTTCGTCATCTGCGCGTAGCTGGGCATGCTCCAGCCAATGCGCTTGAGGGACAGAAACATAGCGCCTATGGGGCCTCGCACCTGCCGCCGCGCAGCTGGCGGGTTGGCCCACGTCTGGGTCCAGGCATCGCGTAGCCCCGCGAAGCCTAGAGCAAAGGGAGTCTGCTGAACCTGGGCGTCCCACAATTCCCTGGAATATCTGGCAATCGGAGAAATAGCAGCATGGTAAACTGGGTCCCCTTCCAGAATACACAACGAAGTAAGGGACCTGGACCCAGCCGAAGGTTTGACAAACTTCCCAAAACCAGAACGTAACATTCCCAATTCATAATCGGAAACTCCATAAACCTCAGAACCATAAGTAACTGATGCCAGCGGCCCTGAAACAAAAATCCTGCGGGTGTGTCGGCCTAGAGCTTGACGAGCTTTCCGCACCCGTCGGCATCGTGCTCTAAACTGAGCCTGTCTAGCCTGAGCCTTCCTACCCCGACCTTTGGTGCGCCGAGCCTTACCAGCACCGTCGTCGACCCCAAGGTTGATGGCAGAGCTGGTGTCCGCCGAGGGGCCGCCGTACGCTCCGGGAAACAACTTCATCTCCTGGCCTACATCGGCGTGAGAAGCAACAACTGCCGCCTTATCGGTAGAAATGGTAGCCTCCATATCGGTCTCCAGGGCCACCAGGAGGTCCACCGAGGCCCGTTTCAAAGACGACACGACCGATTTCGAAGTCCCCGAACTCGACAGCCCATAGTCGTCAATATAAATGTCTAAGGAGACCTGCTTGGGGAGCCTGACGAGATCCACGGTAGGGATGATGTAAACCCTGACGCACGTAGTCGCTATGCTACAACCAGCAACCACCCCATGCGTGGCAAAGTGAGGCCCATGAAGAAGCCCTCCTAAGGATATAAAACGAGCCCCACGATAAGCCCTATAGGATACTCTGGCAATCGGCATCGGGAAATCGAGCAACTGGCAACGGTCGAGGAGCTTAGGAAGCCGAATCGTTTCGTAGAACTTATATAGGTCCCACAAGACTTTACAGCAGCTCAACCCCCGACCGACGATATGTTCGCTCTTAACTCCCTGACGATACACCACATCCGAGGCAGAATTGAACGAACCAGATGCCAAATAAAGACGCTGATGTTCGGCTTCCCATCGCTCTGCGTAGGGGCGCCGTGCGCGAGCCCACAGCCTGTAGAGTGCCGAAAAAAGCCCTATCGGGCGATAGCCTCCTGCTGGCTTCGGAAGCAATGACGTGAGCAGCACCTGGGCAGGGTGAGGCAAGAGACTGGTGGCCTCCATCATCGAAAACATGGTGCTGACGGCAGCCAGCAAGTCGGGATGCATAAGGGCGAAATGCCTCATGTGAAACCCATCGACGCTGGAAGCCGCGCCTAAATCATAAGTCTTACTCACAGCAATCAGGTCGTCCGCCGAGAGAACTTCCAAAGGCTCCAAAAACTCGAGGGGCTCCTGATCCTCGGGCGGGTGCGAGGCCGACTCCCAGAGGCCCCCGAAACGCTCCCCTTCCGACTTCAGGAGGGACATGGGGTCCGAGAGAACCAGGCCGTCGGCCGACAGCGTGGTCGTGGCAACCCAGGGCTTCAGCTCGCGAGTCCAGCGGTGGGCGTTCTTTCCCCCTTTGTCGACACCGTCCAAAAGCCAACTACGCCACTCTTTTAACGAACGCTGTGAGGAAGACTTAGCATACTCTGCTAATCTAGGTTCGAGTTGAGCGTGAAACTCTCGAAAACGTAACCCGTCTTCACAAACATCCTGAAAACCATGGAGGAGTTCGCACCCAAGACGATAATCTTCTTGAAACCCTTCCCAAGAACGTTGAACATGAGGAGGGGGATCCAGAAAGTGGGCCCTATAACGCTTGAACGCTCCAGAATCTCCAGAGTCGAAAGCCCCCAAGATGAATCTCGTAGTCCTGGATAACCACCTGCCAGCAACAAGACCAGGATCCCGAGCCGGGGGGCGCGAGTCTTTATTGGGAACCAACAAACGTGTGGAAATAAGCTTTTACAAGTGGTTCTCAAACCCGCCATGTTGCCATGTTAATGTTATGTTTCCGAGGCCCCGCCAATGCCTACTTCATTTTCATGAAACCCCCCAAACGCACACCTCGCAACGATTAGCACCCCTCGAACGACAGAACAAACGCGGCAATTCGACGCCGAACAAACACGGAACAAGCAATCGGGGACGCGAGGGGCGGGCGCGAAGGGCGGGCGGCAGAGGCGGTTGGAGGCGGGCTGGCGAGGGGGGGGCAAGGAAACGGAATAGAAGAAGAACGAAAAGGGAACGAGCGGGAGAAGGGGGGGGGGGCAGCGGCCCGGGCGTTTCTTCCGAAAACGCCGCCGCTCGACCCCCGAGCGGTCGTGGCGATCCGCGGCCGCCTGGCCGCTGCAGAACGGGGCTGGGCGCCCGAAGTTTACGTTGCATCTTCGGGGGGCATCGCCTGTCTCATTTTTTTGTTTTTGGGGGGGCCTGACGCGTGCTCGACGCGGACTCGACGCGGATGCGGCGTGGATCCGACGCGGATTCGACGCGGATCCGACACGGATCCGACGCGTCCGACATGGATTCGACGCGGGTTCGACGCGGGCAGGGCCGCGACGGGACAGACAAGGCCCCCCGAAGATGCAACGTAACGAAGTGGGCGCGGAAACAATGGGTGCAATGCCCAACGACAAATATTGTCTCAAACCAGCAGCGGCCGCTGTTGGGCAGGCGGCCCTGTGTCTCAAGTTCACAGGCCGCGGCGACGCCGACAGCGAGTCCTGATCAAAATGAACAGGAACTGCAGTTGGGCATTGTACCCATTCCTTCAATGCCCATCGCCTCGCCCCCCCCCCTCATTTGTCCAGGAAGCCCTTCTCGTTCGTGGTCTTCTTGACCTGGGATGCGCGAGAGGGGCAGGGTGGGGGGGGGGCCGAGTGAGCAGACATGGGCGCCCGTCGGTCGTTGAAAGTGCGCATTCCTGGGCATCCAGAAATGAGCACTTTCAACGACCGATGGGCAGAGAGGGAAGGGGCGAGGAGGCAGGGCGAGGAGGAGAGGAGGAGCCCCCCCCGTCGCCCTGCCGCCGTTTCGGCCCGGGCGACCTTCAGCAACTTGTCGGCGCTGTCCCACGGCACGTCCTCCCTGAAGGCCAGCGCGGGGCCGTCGGGGAGGGGCGCGCCCTTCGGGACAGCGGCGTCGACGAGCCAGGGCACGCCGCACGTGTAGTGGAGGTTCATCTCCTGGGATGCAGGGGGGGCAGGACGAGCTAGAGGAGGAGGGGAAGGAAAACGATGAATCAGGAGGAGGAGGAGAGGATAGGAAGATGAAGGATCGGGAGGAGAAGGGAGAGGAACGCGAGGAGGAAGGAAGGAGAGGAGGAGGGCGAGGAGGGGGAGGAGGACGAGAAGGAGGACGAGGGCGAGGAGGGGCAGCCCGCGTCCTGCTCGCTCTCGATCTCGATCGAGACATTGACAGGGCGCCACTCGATCTTGTGGGTCGCGAACGGGTCGGGCTGAGGGGCGGCGGCGAACCCCGGCGAACCCCCCCCTCAGCCCACCCTCTCCGCCAGGCGATAGCCGCGGCCGCGATGGCCCGATGGCGGAGGCGGGCCCCGGGGCGGCCCCGACGCCCCGGGCGGGCAGGGAAGGGGGAAGGGGGGGAAGAGGAGGAGGGATGAGGAGGGGGGGGGGGGGGGGGGAAGAGGAGGAGGAAGAGGATGGGGGGGAGGAGGAGGAGGAGGAAGAGGAGTAGGAGGAGGAGGACGAGGAATCGGAGGAAGAGGAATAGGAGGGAGGAGGACGAGGAAGCGGAGGAGGTGGTGGAAAGAAAAGCGGAGGAGGAGGGGGAGCAGGACGAGGACGAGGGGGCGGGGGAGGGCGTGGGCGAGGGGGCGAAGGGCCGAAGGGGGAAGGTTGGGTTGGCGCCCTCTGACCTTCGGCTCCTTCCCCTTGCCCTTGCCGTTGCCCTTCCCCTTCTTCATCTTCTTCGCCTGCGGCTCGTTCTCGTCGCAGCCCTCGGAGGACTGAAATCGGGCGCCAGCGCCGATCCTAGTCAGCCCGCCCCGGGGCCAGGGCCGCGCGCGCCCCGGCCGCGCGCGGCCCAGGGTCGCGCGCCTTTCCTGTGCCCAGGGCGGTCTGTCTAGGATCGGCGCTGGCGCGCGATTTCAGTCCTCCGCCGACCTCGCCAGCGCTGGGGCCATCCCCCTTCTCCAGCCTCTCCTTCTCCTTGTCTTTCTCCTTCTGAGCCTTCATGGCCTGCGGGAGCCGCTTCACCTCCGAGGCTGAAAACATGCGCCGCCTTCGCGCTTCCGCCCCCGCCCCCCCCTGGGCGGGGGTCAAGGGATGGGGGGGGGGAGCGACGGAATCGGCGGTGGTGCATATTTCTAGCCCCCCCCATTCACCAGCCACGGCAGGGACACGTCGCTCCTCGACACGTTCATGCACTGCGTGCCGTCCAGGAACAAGGCTGGCGGGGGCGGCTGCCGCCCATCCTCTGGCGGGCAAAGGCAATGGGGCGGGGTGGACTGGCATCGGGGGGGGGGCGCGTGGACCTGAAGTCGGAGTCGGCGATGCATCGCCGCAGCGTCGTCGATGGATCGGCGATGAGCCCCCGATCGCGAATCAGCGCGTTCCTGGGCAAGTTCGGGGGCTCGGGTCATCGGACCCCTATCGGAGATCACTCGGGGGGGCGCGTGGACCTGAAGTCGGAGTCGGCGATGCTTCGTCGCGTCGTCGTCGATGGATCGGCGATTCGGCGATGAGCATCCGATCGCGAATCAGCGCGTTCCCGGGCAGGTTCGGGGGCTCGGGTCATCGGACCCCTATCGAAGATCAATCGGGGGGGCGCGTGGACCTGGAGTCGGAGTCGGCGATGCATCGTCGCGGCGCCGTCGATGGATCGGCGATTCGGCGATGGGCCCCCGATCGCGAATCCGCGCGTTCCTATCTAGATTCGGGGGTTCGGGCCATCGGGCACCTATCGGAGATCAATGGGCGAGTGATGGTTAGTTGATGCACCCCCCCCAATGCCTATCCCCCTGTGGTTGCCCATGATCCTCCTCCTCCCACGCGTCCAAGACGTCATCCTCATCCTCCTCCTTGGCCATGTCGACGTCCCTGTCGCCGTCCTCGAGCGGGCCGCGGGGGCCGTGGTAGAGCGAACTTCGGCGAGTCATGTCGATCAGCGGGAGCAGGTTCGCCTGCGAGCAAGGGGGCCCTCCCCCCCATCCCCCCCCCTCCTCCGCCCCCTCGACTTCCCCTCGCCATCGAGCCGCGCCCCTCGTCGGACTGATCTGGCCCGACGCCCGAAATCTCGAATGTGCCTGGGGGGCAGGTCAGAGGATGGGGGGGCGCAGGGCGCTCGGGGGGCGCGCCGCTTGCTCTGTCCATCCGCAATGTCTGTCGGGGGTCAAACTGGCCGACGCGGTCGCGCCGAAACCTCCGAAGTTGCGCCGATTACCAAAATCGAGCGCCGTCGGGTTCCCGCGCGCTGATCTCGCAAAGGCAGGGGGCCTGGCTCGGGAACGCATTCGACCGAAATCCCCCCTCTCTTCACCCCCCCTCCTCATCATCATCGCAGTCGCCCCCCTGCCCCCCGGGCCCTCTGGAGCCGCTCTGGCCCGAGAGAGCCGCCCCGCCCCGAGCCCGAACGTCAGAGATGATGGCTGCCCACGAGGACCCCATGATCGCCCTCAGCGAAGCGCTCGCCGCCGCCTTGGAGGCAGCATCCATGGCCGCCAACGGAATCGCTGCGCTGGCCGCCATCTCCAAGGGAAAGATACCGATACCGATGCCGTTTCTCAACATGGGGAGTCGTCGGAATCGAACTGCTGGACTCGCCTCCCGGGGATCGTGGTCGGGCCCCGCTGGGCCGCACCCTAGATCGCTGGGCCCTCGGAAAAAAAAAAAAGCAAAACGCGGGACCCCGCGGGGCGCTCGGGGGCGAGGGGCCTGCGAGGTGGGATGGGGGAAGTGAGCCTTTGGGCGCGGAGGCCAGGGAAACTTGATATCACGTATTGCCCCCTCTTGTTTTTTGAAACGGAACAGGGGGTTGCGCGGTTGCGCCAGGAAGTGGGGCCCAGAGGAAGAGGAGCTCTAGGAAGTGGAGCCTCGGTGAGTCTAGAATTTGTCGGTCGTCGTCGAATGCGGCATCGGTATTCGGCGCCTCGAAGGCCAGGTCCCGCGGACACGACCGCTTCGCTGAGACTGTGGAGGATCGGAATCGGAAGGGGGGAGAGGTCAATCAAGAGTCGGCATGTCGACCTGGATGAAGACATGAAGACCCCGTTCCTCCCCCGACTCCTCCCCATCCCCCTCCTCATCGCCCCCCTCTCCTCTCCCCGCTGACCCTTCTCCCGTTCCCCACCGTTCCCCCCCTGCCCCTCATTCTCTTCCCCGCCGCCCCCCCCCCGCTCCGCCGCTGGGCCCCCCATCAGCCCATCAGGAGCGTCGGGGATATCTGGCAGAGGACGCGTTGAGGTGGAGGGTGGCCCTGGCGGCGGCGTACGGCACGGCTTGGGATCAGGGGGGAGCGGCGAGAGCGGCGGCGGAGGCTGGCAACGCTGACGCGGCTGACACCACTGCTGACACCCCAGCTGACACCATGTCCACTGGGGCCACCGAGGACTAGAGGCCGAAGGGGCCGAGGCCGAGGAGGAGACCAGGAGGGCGGCGGCGAGAAGGCGAGGCGAGGAGAGCTGAGCGAGCTGAGTTGCGAGGCAACGGCTTCAGATTATTGCGCTGCCTAGCGGGAAACAAGAGCGCGCGCGGCACCCCCGTCCACTTCGTCCGCCTCCGCCCAGGGGTCCACTACCACGGGCTCCGACACGTCGGCAGCG